GGGCTGGCAGCGAGCCCCAGCTCCTGCCCCGCTCCCGAGCGTGGGATGCGCCAAGCCCTGCCTGGCCTGGCTCTCTCCCGAGCAGACGTCCTCGGCCCAGCGCTGCCGCAAGCCCGAGAGACAGAGCCCACCAGTGCCCCGCGTGGGCCTGGCCTCTGCAGCGGCATGGCCAGGCTGAGCTACCGCGGGTGAGCGGATCAGCCATCGTGCCATGGAAAAGCAGGAGCTTTCAGCTACAGGGAGTGCTGGTGTGCCCCAGCACTGCCCCAATATCCGCCAGGTTATCAGGAATTAAGCAGAGGTTTGATAAATCCAAGAGCAGTCTTCCCTGAGCAACACTGGAGATGAACAGCTGGGGATGGCATCCTTGCTGTGACTTGATGAGAAAGGCTTGACGTTTATCATGCTTTGTTACCTCCATCCAGGCTCCTACTCACAGCTCCAATTGGCCTCATTATTCTCTTTCAGATAACTTCTCGTTTCCCAGCTTGGTACCCTGCTAGCCCCAGCTGTGGCGTGTGCTCGACCAGCGTCAGGGGGGGCCGCTACCTCCGCTCCCTGCAAAGCAGGATTTCCAGGGCAGCAGGACCTCCACAATTTCTACTTGTCTGTGGGCTGTGTCACCAACAAGAGCAGGACTTTGGCCAGATAAAGAACCAGGCCTTCCATGAGTCTGTTTAAAACTGAAGTTATATGTTTGAGGGTGTCCCTTTCTCTTGAAAATAAACTACACTTAACACAAATTGCATCTTGAACACACAACGCTCTCCGTTGTTTCTACTCTTTTGCCTGGGGACAGCCACTCCGTAAGGTGTCCTCATGCTCTTTCCTTCGCCCTGGGAGCTCTCACCCATATCTCAAGTCTTGAACGGCCTCCTGTAGCACCTGCCCTAGTTCTGGGACCTCACCCTGCTCACTGGGTATTTTGCAGCGTAAGGGGAGGAACTGTAGCAATTTAGGAACTGGAGAGAGCAATTTCCCTGCAGATGTCCAGCCTAAGGAGCAGCGGTTGGGGAGCAAACAGCGCTGAGCCCCCAGCTTGCTACACAGGAGAAAGTCTAGACAGAGGATTGAATGCAAGTGGATTTAAGGACTGCTTAGTAAAAGAGAAATAAATTAAAGATACTCTTGTCTCCTTTGAAGATCTAAACAGTCTCCTACAAAGGAGGATATCTGAGATGTCTGACTGAGTCATCTTACATCAGTTCTTGGTATACCTCCATAATCTTGAAAGCTGGAGTCTGAAGAGCTCGAAATGATTCATAAGGAAATGAGGAGTGGCAACATACAACTGGTTTTAAGGTGAGCAAAAAGATGACTGGAAACACTGATCCACACAGGACAGTACATGTACTAAGGGAAGTTCTGCTTTGCTGTAGCTGTTGTGTCTATGGTGAGATGTCCCAAAAGCCTCTTGGTCAAAACTGAACAAAACCAACATTGAATCGGTGACCTGCAAATGCAGGTCACCCGGAGTGGTCAGTGAAGTGAGACGTTGCTCAGGAGAACCATGCCCTCTGCTACTTCACTGTGCTTTGGGGTCACCTCCAATTTCTTCTGCCCTTTAGGTGGGTGCAGAAACACTCACTGCTGCTCTGTAACAAGTGAAGACGATCAACCGCTTCTGCTAAGACTTCTGTAGGAAGAGAGGAGGCTCCTTAGCTGGGCCTGGAGAATTCAGTAGCACCAGGGCATCGTAACCCAGCTCCCAGGCGCCAGCTCCCCCCTGCTCTGCTGAGGCACCAGCTTCCCGATCTGCCTGCATGGGACACCGGCACGCCGTAGCAGAGCGGCATGCGGACAGGCCGGCAGCAGGGAGGTGAGGGCAGCACACCTTTTTTATAAGAGAGAGCAGGAAGAAGTTGCCATCCTCTGTCTCTCCTGGATATATATTTCTGTGCAAGGCAGTAATTGTCTAAGAAGGACTCACTGAGAGAAGGGTATTCTGGTAAGTATTGCACAATATGGTGCATAAAAGGATGGAGAATCACGTTTTATAAACAAGGTAGCAGCAAGTTGTGAAAAAAAAAAAAAGGAACCTATCCACTGATGGTGCAGTTGAGGGAATTATACAGCGGAATAACTCTGTTCTATATTTTCTTTCGTCCCGGAAATGTTAGGAAATCCTCCAGTGTGAATCAGAAAACACGTGACTAGCCAGGTCACTGGATGAACAGTGCTGATTGCTACTCATTACAAATGTATAGTCCCACACGTAGGAGCTTTGGACTTGGGAACTGTTACAATATTTATCTGAAATCCCTGTCCTGCTTACTGACATGTCGTGAAATGTTGAGTGTTTTGTAACATATTATTGCCAATGCTGTGTTAGCCCAGAGAATGAATGTACTAATTAATCTAGGGAGGAGGCTGCAGAACTGAAAGCACATTTCTCTTTTCAGTAAACTCTTGATCTCCTGGATAAACCAGGTTTGTTTTTTCCATTTCCTGATCCTCTTCGCATGTTAGTATTGCTAGCAGGTAGCCTAATTTTTTTTAAAGGTTGCTAGCTCCTTTTCTGAAAGAGAAACTAAAAATGAAGCAGCTGCCTTCAGAAGCACCAGCACAATATTGTGAGCACATTATGTTCAGTTAAAAAGCAGCCAATTCCATGGCTGGGAAGTGAAAATGGAGACTTCTCTTGATAAGGTGCTATTGGCAAGATTAAACGGTGAACAAAGAAAGGCTTTCGAGTCTTCAGTTTCTGAGACAGGAACGAAAAGTTCTGTTATACCTTTAAAGCAGGTTAAGTCAGGAGCTCTGGTAAACAGCAGAGTTTCTGTAAGATTTAAAGAAGCCTCTCTCTCCAGCACACCTCTTTTATTAAGACTTTCAATTAAGTGATAGTTGAATTGTGTGATGTTACATTTCCTTTAATTATTTTTCACTCTGTAGCTTGTGCCATAGAGTCACTTAAATGCAGCTTTGAGGACTAAAGCTTATAATTCTCTCCTTGACTCTGAGGTACCAAATGCAACTCTGCCATCGACAACATTCAGTGCATTTGGTGCTGAACGCGCTCCACTTTCCCCCCTTCCCTCTCACTTACAGCGTAACAAGGCTGCTCAGATGGATTTCTTGGCATGCTAGATTTCAATGAAGACATCATGCTGATTAGCTCTCAGCCAATAGATAGTGGTTGTTTTATTAGATAAATAATCCCCCCACTTCTTATTGACTGCAAAAATGTATTGCTTTCTTTTAAAATTAAGTCAATTCTTTAGAGCATATAGCAAGTTCTGATAAGCCAAAATTATGAATTCTGTCTGAGCAGACCCTGAGACCTCAGGGCCATAGCCAATAAACTGCTATGCCAAAGCAAAAGTCTGACTGAGATGATTCTAGCTGATCACAGCTACGGTTCCTGTAATGAACATACGTTTTGCACATACAGGCTCAAGGTCTCCACTGTCCTACAGGTATAAACAGGCGCTCCCTCCGGAATGGATAAGGGAGTGATTTTATCTCCATCGGTGTTAGAAAGGTCAAAATTCAGCCTTTGCCCCTTAGGGGGATGCTATATGAATTTTTCTTTTTTGCTTAAAAGTCTGTGCCTCATTTTGTTCAAAAAAGCTTTTTGTGGAGGGAGGAAAGAACAATCCTCCCCTAAGCTCTTCTTGCCACAGTCTCTTACCCAGCTCCAAATGTATGTTCCAAATAACATAGCTACATTATGATATAGTCACTCATTTTTCTAAAACGTTACCAATATGTTGACAAACAGGTGGCACTTAACAGCAATGAAGTATGGTATGTTACGGAGTGTCATGCATACTTCGCATCAAATTTGCAAAATTTGGGGTTTACTGCAGTTCCGCACATTGTGACCAGAGCACTCTTCCTGCTGTAAATGGCATTCTTTGTGAAGAATGGGAATTGGAATAGGTGCGTGGGTCATTGATAGGCTTATTCTCAGTAGTACAAAGCCTTGATTAATTAAAAAGGTGGGAAAAGGTCATGAACAGTAGGGAAGGCATTGCAACTGTATTTGGGGAAAAGGTTTATCTGTCTGAACTACAGTTTGACCTGAGTACCTCAGGCCCTAGAGTGAACTTGGACATCAATATTGAAGCTCTAAAATTAAACTAGCAGGGCAAATTTTGAAAACCAAAGAAACAAACCACACTGGGTACTCTCTGTATAATTAATAAAAAAATGTACTGAATTATTTTAAGTAAACATAAACCTACATGTTTCACTGTTCTTCAATCTCAGTTCACAAGGATGGGTGCTCAGAACAGAGCTGGGACTGGACAGCCTGTAGAGGAGAAGGCTCAGGGGGGACCTTAGCAATGCTTACAAACATCTGAGAGAAGGGTGTAAGCAGGATGGGGCCAGACTCTTCTCAGCGGTGCCCAGTGACAGGACGAGAGGCAACAGGCACTAACTGAAGCACAGGAAATTCCACCTGAACACAAGAAAACCATTCTGCGCTGTGAGGGTGGTCAAACACTGGACCAGGTTGCCCAGAGAGGTTGTAGAGTCTTCATCCTTGGAAATATTCAAAATCTGACTTGATGCGGTCCTGGCTGACCCTTTCTAGAGGTCCCTTCCAACCTCAGCTATTCTGTCATGCTGTGATTCTGTGAAAATGCATTAAATGCTATTTGAGAAAGGCCTTTCTGTTGGAAATAATCTGACATCTCATACTTTTAGAAAATATTAACCTATATTCCATCTATGTAGTACACATCAAAATAATTTTCAAACACTTTTTATCTTATATAAACAATACCATTTTGATAAGGGAGCTATAAAAGTTATGTACATGATAGTCTCCTTGTGCAGATGCCACAGCACATTCAGGAGTAGTTAAGGTTTGTACCCCAGGCTACACTAGAGCAGATCTACTTGAATGAATGCAACTCTCATCTCTGCTGGTCTAGCACCCTGCTAAGCCTGTCGGATTGTGCTTTCGTCTTATGTTGGTCCTAAAGATTACAACAACTTACTATTTCCTGAGAGCTAAGCATGTTTGGTGTGTGAGTTTCAAATGCCTGTCAATAAAGGTCGATGACTATCGAAGCTGAAACACAAAGGCTCAATCCTAGGTGATGATCGATAGCAAAGATTAACAATTTCTGAAAACTTGTGACCCACTTTGTTTCTAGCCACACACTCAGGGCATCTCCATAGCGCTGCTCCTGACCTGCTCAGCTTTGCCAGCTCGTCTGGTGGCTCTGTGCTCTCCACCCAGCAGCACACACGTGCAGAAACATCTGCAGTTGGGCTGGCGCCCCAACCAGTTGTTACTCCTAGGGGACAAAAACTTGCTGCAGACTGGATCTGGGCACTGGGCTGCTCGCTGGCCCTAGTTATCATGTGCCCAGTCTTAGTTGCTACGCTATCCTCATTGCACAGCCCTTGTCTGCCCGCCACTGAAGACTCACAACATAGAAATTATTTTAGTAGTTATGTTCCAAGGGTACTTTTAAGATTGTGCGGAATTAACAGGAGGTTTCCTGGAATCTGCATGCATTGTAAGTAGCACTGAACAGCACAGGCTGCAATAAATTAGGGATGATGCCATAAAACTCTTGTTTTCACCACAGAATGACCTCATAAATGTGTTTATATTCTGGCAGTCCTTTTTTGAAAAAGAAAATCTGACAATTACTAAACTGTAACTAAATCATCAGGCCTTAACATTACAGAAAGGCTTGCTGAAAAATGCAGCTAAAGCCTGCAGACTCTTGGACTTCAACAGACTTTTGGATTAGAATTGTATCTGCAGTATAGATGGGGCATAGTGCACACCAGGCTAGATAATACTATCTAAAGAGTGCATAACAGGAGCAATTGTTCCGTGTTCAAAACTTCCATTGCCAGCAAGAGCAGAAAATACAGCCGTACTGCAACGTTTACAAATGGTGTCAAAGAATGTGGTTTATATTTATTTGGATTTTTTCTCCCAAATTGTTTTAAAACTTAAGCTGCTAACACTGATGTTTACTTAGTGCATTATTAAAAATAAATAATTCTATTTGTATAACCTTTTCCAAACAAAACTCATGTGCAGATTATCATTATATATGATCATACATATATATAAATACGATCATATTTATATCACATGATCATTCTGTTTTGCGCTATGCCATTTGCACGCTCATCTGAAAGCCATGTAGCCACACATCCATTGCAACGTCTTGGATTTTCTAGAGACCATCACTAGTCCGCTGTCATGTGATATGATCCAAGAGTAATTGGTTTATCTTCCATTAGAACATGTTTATTTAAAAATATTTGGGTTTTCAACCATGTTGAACGGTGTTTAACAAAAAAAGCTTTACATACAGTCATGATTAATAAGTAATTATTGTTTCATCTCAGATTAAAAAGGCATCGAAAGCAAGCGAGGATCTCCATGGCAAAGACGGCCAGAGCTTTTCAAGTCTCTAGTGCCTGCTGCTGCGAGAGCGACGGGGAGCCTGCGAAAGCCGCAGGCACGCAAGCCGACCGGACTGGCGCCTTTCCCTTCGCGCCCGCTCTGCTGCGTGCAACGCGCGCTCCAAAGTGCTGAGGGCGATTTTCAAACCACAGTCTTTATACTGCGCGCTTGCGTTTTTGTACATTATAGTCAAACAAGCGATTGACTGAAATACTCGCTGAAAGCTCACAAAAGTCACAGGACGTGTACGTAAGTGCTTTGCCCCCCCAAACCCCAACGCCAGCCCCAAGCTAAACAAGCACCGAGGGAGGACGCAGGATTTTCTCTTCCATATCAGCTTGCTAAAGTCTGTGGGACATTTCTGCGGGCATGCACAAGACGCGGTGCAGTCTCGTCCGAGCCATGCCGACGTCTCTAACG